AAGCATCTGTCGTAAGGTTAAACTCTTTAGTAAAGTCTGGATATTGCAAAATGGGATCGTTCGTCAAAAGAGACTTACATTTTTCGAAAGCGTTAACGTAATTACTGTCTACTGTTACCTCTTTGCCTTTCTTAAGACACTGAGTTAATGGTTTAGTGATACGGGCGAAATCCGGAATGAACTTTCTGTAATAACCGAGAAGGCCTAAAAATTGTTTAATTTCTTTTGGATTCTTTGGAATAGGGTATTTTTGTACAGCCAAAATTTTATCGGGGTTTGGTTTAATACCGTCCCTGGTGATAATATGACCGAGATAAGCCGTTTCATGTTTGAGAAACTCCGATTTGTCCATTTGGATTTTAAAGTTGGATTCACGAAGTCTACTAAATACATTGTCTAGGTTAACTATATGTTCTTGGAGTGAAGTACTGAACACATTTATGTCATCTAGGTATACAAGGCATATATGATTTTGTAGCCCCCTTAAGATATTGTCAATAACTCTCTGTAACGTAGATGGACTGTTCTTCAGGCCCATTGGCATGCGAAGGAATTCGAAATGGCCATGCTCTACATTAAAAGTGGTTTTTGCTATGTCCTGAGGGTCCATTTCTACCTGATAAAATCCGCTTGCTAAGTCCAAGGTGGTAAAATATTGGCACTTCCCTAATTTGTCAAGAACATCACTAATGTTCGGGAAAGTCGACTACGAGACGCCACTTCTGTTTGCCAGAAGCATCTAGTTTCTTTGACACAACCCAGATGGGTAAGCTCCATGCAAATTCGGAATGTCTTATAATACCCTGATCTAACATTTTGCTTATTTGGTCCTTAACTTCTTGTCTATGTATGAATGAATAACGCTAGCTTTTAGTGTGTATTGGTACTTCGCCCGTGGTTCGAATCCGATGTTTTATTCTATTTGTGAAAGTGAGGCTTTCACCTTCTATGTAAAAAACGTCCGAGTAACGAGAGCAAAGTGCTACTAAATTAACCTTTTCCTCCTCGTTTAGGTGGTTTGTACGTAATCGCGAAACTACGTCTTTTGCGCGTGCTGATAATTGTTCGGAACGCGTGCACTCAATATTAAATAATTCCGCGTGGGCCAGTCGGTCGAGTGAAAATATTATATCGTTTGGCGTTGGGTTCTCTACCTCAATATAACCGCGATTATTGACGACAGTGGTAACACATTCGTGAATAGTACAATTACATAGAACCTGTTCCGTAATATAGGCTTCGCCATCACTTGTATCCAACGGAACTCTAATAATTTTCGAAGAGCTGACAGGTATTATATCTTCGTATAAATTAACATTACGCGAGTTATATAATTTTATGGGATTACATGCTGAATGCGTTATTAATTGTCCCTCTTTTAAATCTATATGGGCCTCCCATTTACTTAATAAGTCCAATCCTATAAGGCCGTCAAAATAGTCATGAAAGCGATATACAAAGAATTTCACTTTATCGGAATCATTAAATTCAGAAAAACAAGGTAACGTTATAGAATAGTTATTACGACTTGTCGCGTGTATGTTTGTTACTTCGAACGGGTCAAAATTAAGTGGGAAATCGCTGAAAAATTTTCCTACTGCTTCAGAGCTAATAAAAGATTGATTCGCGCCAGTATCAATTAAACATTTTATTGGGGGGTTTGCTATCTGTATATATGGTATCTGTCTTTGAGTCTGAAGATTTAATTCTATTTTGGTTTTTTTTTATAGTCGAATCGTCCTGATCGGAGTGCTTAGATTGTGATTGATTTTGAATATAATAATTATTATCTTGGTTTTCGTCAATCTGGTCATAATAGGAAAAATCAGAAGTCCGGGGCATAAGCATTGTTAACGTCGGTATAGTCGGTGTAGTATGCGTACTCGTATTCAGGGTTATACTCGTAATATGAATCGTTATACGCAGCGCATTCGTTTGTATTCATTTCGCGGGATTTAAAATAATTTGTTGGTGGCGGATTGCCAAATTTATTCCAGTCATGTCCTGTCAACATTTTTGTGTGTGGTAAAGCCTTGGGAATAAAACGCTGGACTCTACTCATGGGCTGAGGTTGTTGAGGGTTACTTAGGGGTGGTAATCGGAACACGTTACTACGCTGGTTGTAGTTAGGAGGGGGTGCACCGAACATGCGCTGGGTATTAGTTGGCATGCGCTGTTGGTGTGGTACGGGTTGAGGAAATTTGAACGGCTGAGGTGGGGGTCTATAAGGTCTTTGCCCAACAGGAGCTGGCCAATTAGGTACTGGAGTTTGGAAAGGTTGATGTTGAGGAATGGAAGGTGGTGTGTATGGTGGAATGAACTTGGGGGAATGTTGACTTTTTATGGAGTCATTCCGCTGTTGGAGATACATAATGTTTAATTCCTCCTGTACATATTCTAATGCTTTCTCTATTGTCGACGGTCGCATGCAACGTATACGAGATCCTAAAGGTTCCTTTAAGCCACGGACATATGCTTGCATTGCGACTTTCCTATAAAGGTCCCGTTTGGCATTGATGGTGGTCGGTATGGTCTCATGTAAAGACACGTAAGTCATTATCGTGCTAAACAAAGTTTGGCAATGGTCGTAAAATTCTTGTGGAGTTCTATTGCCTTGCGAAGCTAAGGAGAGGTCATTATATAAAGCCGTTTCGTCCCGCTGGTCGGAAAAATTATTTATTAGTGCTGTCCTAATACCTAACCAATTTTCAGGAATGCCATTAGAGTTTATAGTGCAGGTAGCGGTTCCTGTTATTTTGTTAAGAATACCGTTCAAAATACATAAATTAGAAAATTCACTATCGGGCGCATTGCTTAGGTACTGCGAGGCTAGTGTGTCACATATTTTTATAAATCTAGTTAAAACGTTAGGGTTCCCATCAAACTCCTGGACGAGGCTTAAAGCCTTAAAAGTTGTGTCCGGGTCATGGGCCATCTCCGTTAAATAAGTATTATTTAATTTTAATTCTAAATCTAAATCGGTTTGCCTATTATTATCTAATATATGACGGCGAGCCTGTCGAGATTCAGGCTCCCGAGAACGAGTTACTCTAGGATGATAAATCTTGAAGGGAAAGATTTAAAACATAGGGATAAGGGAAAGCAACACGAGATCAATTCAAGTGTACTCACGTGGATTTCATCTGGTTTCTCTCGACGAATCGAAGGCTGGATTCTCCTCCTGGTCTGCAGCTGGTCCGTAGATCCGGATACTCTTCGAAGGGACTTGATAGCCGCCGGGGTGCTTCACGGTTATGAAAAGATATTCCCTAACTATCGCAAAACTACCCCTGAGTATCCTACCGACTGCGCCAATTACGTTAGCTGCGGCCGGAGGTTCGAAAAAAACCAAATTTACTTATAAAATATATTTAAAATAAAATTACAAATTATGTTACTATAGCTAATTAATCTAACAGAATGAGCCTTGTGTAAATGAGTACGTGATATTTTATACATCCGGCACGTGGCTTGAATTGCTGCGCCTTCATTCCTGTCGGTTTACATAGCAACTGTTCTAGGTGTAGTAGTCAGCGATCTTCATATCATAGGTATATGTAACTTACTTCATACTGTTAATACTAGGTATATTATTTGATGTTCTTATTGAATAATAATATATATAAAAAACTAATGTCAACAGATTACTCAAAAGTGTCTCAACATCCAGACAAACCCGTAAGGGTTTTTGTGATGTTTATATTATCATTTACTGTATTTTAAATAAATTAAAAAAAATCAAGTTTGTACACTCCTGCATCTTGTAGAGAAATATATACTTGATGGATGGTAAAAATTGACTAATCTTCTTCGGCGCCTTGTAGAATGTTCTAATAGAAGCTTGCTTCAAGATGTAGCCAATCTTTTCTGTGACACCTCTGATATACGGTAGTACAGCAGGCATACGCTCGACTGTGGCCGGCTTCACTCAGTCACTGTGACGTAGGCGCGCAAGCCGAAGCCTGTTGTCGTGCATAACCTGCTTGACGTGCTGAAGCTCGGCGGCCAGGTGTTTGCTGTCACAGATCCCTCGTACTCTCTGTAACAAAGATTTGCCTACGGTAGTTACCTGTGAGGCATTATAGTGAGATTCACCCTTTAAATATCAGTTTGTATGCGTCTTTTTTCTATACACAGTGTGACCTATGGTTTTGTTAGGATTTCGGATAACTGACACATCTAGGTAAGCTAAGGAATTATTTGCCTCTAACTCCATAGTAAATTGAATTTTAGAGTTTATGGAATTAAGATGTTCTAAAAATGTAATTACTTTGTGTGATTAAAATTGTGAAAGTATAGTCTATGTACCGCTTCCAGATCCTTGGTATAACAGGTGCTGTAAGGAGGGCTTTCTCCTCAAAGTCTTCCGTGAATATATCGGCGACAATGAAAGATACAGGTGAGCCCATCGCAACACCATCTACTTGCTTGTATAACTCTTCCTTCCACAATAGATATATATAGAATAAAATAGCTGGCATGTTATTTTCTTCTAGTTTCCTAGTTATAACTGAGATGCAGTCTCCACTGCAACTTGGGGGGACAGGGTAAGTGCTTCATCAAGATGAGCCTATTTATAAAACATAAATACACGTCAAAACTCTCACATTAGCCCACAACAAGTTTTGTTTGTAATTCACATAGCCCATTTCTCTTTGGCAAGTGTAAGCTGACTTTTACATTTCTAAGACTTGGTTTGATCGGTAATTGATAAATTTAATAGGAGGAAAAATAAAATACCAGTATTTTGAAAAAAAGATATTTATTTAAAGTGAAAAGTTTAAAAAATACATAAACCACCCGGTAAATATCGGATCGAAGGTGCTTGTAATAAAAATAATTCGACGAGGGCTACCACTAAATCTAATCGATCACAATAATACTCACGATAACTACAACCGAGCGATCTAAAGAGTTCCGAGCGAGCTTGCAATGTGATGTTCGCCGGAGGGGAGATACGACTACGAAAATTATTGTCGGAAGGAAGGGGTGAGGGAAGATTAGGAGACGCGTGTGTCGTCTGGTAGGGGCGGCTCAGGGCGCGTGCGGTAGCGTGCAAGCGGCGCGCGGGGCGGGGGGGCGCGCAGTGCGAGCGGCTCACCCACGACCTCTCCCGTACCCACCACATTCGCTGCGCCCCCCACATGGCTTGAACCCCTCATATCTGCCGCGTCTCCCGCAGCCGCTGCCGCAGCCGCCAGCACGTCGCCACGCTCCAGCGACCACTGGCGGCGCAGTGAGCGCGTGCTGCCCACCAGGCACCTGCCGCAGACGTTGCAATTATCACAAAGGCAAGAAATCCATATTTTAGTCGACCCTAGGGTGGATACTCGGAAACGCGTGTCCGTTTATCCACCCTAGAAGGGGTGGATAATCGGAATTCATATATGAGCTTTCTTCCGATTTTCACCTTCGCCTGTGTGCAGTAATTTGTAGAAACATGACGGCTGTTTGTAAAATTGTTTTTGAATAATGATGATAATTTTATGGTGTTAGGGAAATACTATGAAAAGAAATGGCTCAAGAATAAAAATTATGTGGCTGTTTGTAATTCTTTCGTAGTGTATCACAGAACTACAAATTAAAAATATGTTAAAGTATAAATATATTTTCTTTTGAACTGTACTTGGGTTGGAAAGGCGGATTAACAATCAAAAAGTGAATTCCGATTATCCACCCCAGCTAGGGTAGATAAATAAACACGCGTTTCCGAATATCCACCCTAGGTGAAATTTTTAAGGTGAATAAACGGAATAACCCAATTACATCCATTGCCAGTGTGTGTGTGTGTGTGTGTGTGTGTGTGTGTGTGTGTGTGTGTGTGTGTGCGCGCGCGTGCGCGTGTGCGCGTGTGCGCGTATGCGCGTTGCGCGCGCGCGTGTGCGTGAGCGCGTGCGCGTGAGCATGTGTATGTGCGTGTGTGTGTGCGCGCGTGTGTGTGTGTGTGTGTGCGTGTGTGTGTGTGTGGTGGGGGGGTGTACGAAATGAAAAATACAATTCAATGAATACCTTAGGTTACCTAACAATAAAAGTTAGTAGCGCTGCACTGTCAAAAGATATAAATATAAAAAGATCTTCCGTTTCATCATATCTTAGAGCTAGTAACACTACATAACATATAACATAAACACTCACGCCTGTCACCCAGAGGGGTAGGCAGAGACTACAGACTTCCATTTGGCACGATCCTTACACTCCTCTCTCGCCTCCTCCACATTCATATACCTACCCATACATGCTGGTCGGTTAAGGAAAAATCTCCGAATAAATGAGGTATGACACTTCAAAATAGTAAAATCTTCGTGTTCGGGGTAGTACCGACACTAATGGGATGATAAATTGATAACGCTTGATTAGTTCGATAAAATATATTGTGGATAAGTATACAAATTGAAGGGCTAGAACTACTGATAATGAGTACGCGTAGCGCTCTTGATGGCTATCGGCGAACTAATTTTAATATACATGTGCCGCGGAAATATGTAAAAGAGGTCAAGTTGTGAAATGATAACTTTACAATTGTACGTTGCATTACATGCTCGTACACTCCGAATAAATGAGGTTTGAGATCGCAAGGTCCGACTATTCTGCAGTTTATAAATTTATGGGGATCAAAAATAACTTGATTGTATTATTTCAAGATTGTACCTAAAATTAACAGTTGTCTAATAGTAAGGACTTCGCAATTTTCAAACAGCAGTTTCGTTGAGAATAAGAAACGTCGTAAAGTGCTTACTTTCAGTACTGCACGCTGGGAAATTTCTAAGCACTTATTGGTAGAAGCAGGCGCTCCACCACAAGAAGTAGTGCTGTACGATGTCAGTGATTGGCAGAGTGCAAAGTAAATTTGCTTTATAAGTTTGTATTCTGCAGTATGTCCGAGTGCTTTAAAAATATTATTAATTTCCGTACTCTATTGCTCAGCAATTCAATATGCGTTTTAAAATTCAAGTGACAAACTTAAATTACACCCAATTATTTAAATTTCATTAGTATGCTCTTGCTATTTGTATTTCTGCCAACTTTATTACTAACAATGTTATATAGCAGCTATAATAGTATTATAGCTGCGTTATTCTTATTATAGCAAGTAAATAATAAATATTATTAAATCCTTAGTGGCTTAGTTAACTCAATTAAAGAAACAAGATAAATATAATGTAATGATAATGACTAAAATACGATCAATAGAAATAATAAAAAGCTTGAATGATACCTAGTAACTTAAGACTGAATAAATTAAACTTAATTATTTTATTGAATTGTAACAACCTTAAGAAAATGTGTGAGTGATATTTCGACACATTTTCTTCAATATACAATATCATTATTTTTTGGGTACAAAACGACGTAGCCTTTTGTTTTCTTTGCTTGGACCTAATGGTGCCCCTTCATAGCGTGGGACCACTTCTTATCGACGACTACATTTAAAAGTACTTGGTTGTGATACACCAGAGAGATTACCTATGCTATCTTCGGTTGAGGGAGGTGATGCATTAGAAATAAAAGAACACCCTGGATAGTACTTGGCGACAAGCTTATTGAAGTCTTCCTCTGAGGATACTTTTGCCCAATTATTATCAGGCAATTTAATATATACTGTGCCATCAAGCGTCCACACATTCCTCACGCCAAAGTACTTCCTGCCCTGCTTGTGAATATTTTAGCGCGTCTTTGTGAGAAACTCAAACAATGTGTCAGACGTACCATTTAACTTGACCTTAGACTACTGACTTTGTATGGTGGTCATGGATCTGGACGAGGACTGCTCTAACTTGATTTTTACCTTGTGAGCCCAATGTGTGATACCGTTTGATTGAGGTGCTGCTCACATCAAAAAGGTCAATTTTGCTATGTATTAAGCTTAGAACCTTATCAATTAAGCTTACATCAGAGTCCTCGGGGATGCCATTAAATAGCAATACATTTTTCTGTTGTCGCATGCCAAGTCCATTAATTGTGTTTATACAACTTCTAACTTGCATTTGCAGTAGACTAAACATTTGTGTGACCAAAACTTTAAATTCATAAAATTCCTGACTCAGCTGCACTAACGTTGGATTGGATGGGACCAGTGCAGCCTTCAGATCATCTTCGAATTCTGACATCTTTTGCATCCAGCTGACTTCCACTTCTTTCAGTATTTTATCTACATTGTTGATGCTTGCCATATTATAATTATAATGTAACAGTGCTTAATAGTGGTAACTACAAGTGTTGCAGATAGGTGATGCAGTAAGTTATTAAAAGTTGGTTTACATAGAAAAATATTATATGAATACATTAAGACCTCGTTTCTCAATTAATTTATCGTATAATTTAGTCTTATCAATTATGAAAATTTATAAAATTTTAAATTATAAATAGGAGCACTAACAATATCTTCCAACAAAAATCCTCTCACAAATCAGAGGACACCTGTGCCCAGCAGTGGGACGTAACTAAGCTGTTACTTTACTTTTTCTTTGGTCTTGCATTCTGTCGTTTTCTGGCAACACAAAGTTAAAAAAAATTTAGTAGAGGAACTGCATCATATTTGGAATATCAATTTGTGTTTTGGGAACAAATGGAAAAGAAAACGTTTTTGCCTAGTAAAAAATGCAACAAATTATTGGAAAATTATTAAACTTTAGTAATATAAACAATCAAAAAAACTAGGAACCTTCTCAAAATGTATGTCTAATCTCCAAAGGCGTGATATTACTTAGGGTGCGGATAGTTTGGAATATAGTATTCCAAATCGTATCCTCCTTCTTTCCTTGACAATTGCTTACACTTTTTCTTAAAAACTAATAAATCTCTTGTCGTTCTAGTCTTCATGTATCAATGTATCAATCTTATGTAATCAAAAATGTAAGTATTTTTAACTAAATAGCCTACAATAAATAATTATTATTAGTTTATAACAAATCAATGTTTAGTTTTAATTTATAGTTTTTAGTTAGGTACGATTGCAATCGTTTCAGAAATACACAGGTACCGTGAACCCAAAATTCGCACAGTAAGTGCTATACCCATATATCTCAGCTATATTTTTCGTTACAGAAAAACACTCAGCGTCTTTCTCAGTAGGGGCTGCAGCCTAATTTCTCGGATGAGTCTGTGTTTTTTCCAAACATACAACAGGATTCAAATCTGACGATTCACTTTCTGTCATATTTGTCATGTTTCTTTTTTTTTCCTTCTTACGTTTTCCGTTAATTGTTTTATTGTGTTGTCTTTATTGGATGTTTTAACTGTGCTGTTTCAAGCGCCTTCTTGTAAGGAGAACTTGAAATGATTGCTGGTTTTCGGTCTCCATTGCTAGTTCTCTTCTTTACTGTTGGCACGGAAGAAATATAAAACGGAATACTCAAACAAAAAAGTAGATGATAATCCTTGCTTAGTTTCATCATAATTCTCGCAGTCGCTGAGTAGTATCCACTACGGATCAGGCGGGCAACCTGGCAATAGTTTGAGCATTTTGTTCCTCAAAATATGCAGCAGCAGCAGCTTTGGTAACAGGCCTCAGTAAATACATTTCCATTAAAGGGCTGCAGCCTCCAACTCCGAAACCATTTGGAGCAATTTCTCCCGCTTGGCACTTGATCTTGGCTTTTCCAAATAACAATATCATAAGGTGTTAAAAGTCTATTATTTTCTCTGAGAAAAACCAGAACAACTTAACTTTTTTTATATAGAAGAGGGGGCAAACGAGCATGCGGCTCACCTGATGTTAAGTGACTACCGCCGCCCATGATCAACCGCAACACCAGGGGAATAACAGGTGCGTAACTATAATAAGAAAAAGAATACTCACAAAAATATGGCTAAAATATAGAATATTCCAAATTATATTCACTTACGGTGTTCCGAATTAACAACATGACATCCTAAGTTAAAACCCCATATAACATTTTTAACTGTAGAAATATTCACAAAACAAAAAAATAATCATAGACTAATAAAGTCACTTAAAACAATTATAATAAAGATTTTGCTTATCATGGTAATTGGTAAATGATTTTAACTCTGTGGAAACCCCAATGACGAGTTGTAAAATAATAGCTCCCAACTATTTTATAAAATTAAATATTGTAATTTGATAATATCCACCTCAATTTCTAGTTACAGTTGTTAAATAAGACTTAATTGTGTTTGTAAAATAAATAAAAGTCATAAGTATTTTAATTAAATAGTGTTTTGTGTTTCAGCTAAAATTGACAGCTGTAACGATCATCGTTTGAACTTTCTGTAAGTTAGTGTAATTCTTGTTATCCCTTTAATATTTTAAGATTTACCTTTTAAATAAGTGCTGTTTCGGATTTCAATTTGAATTATTTACCTGATAATTTAATTTGAGATCTGTAAGTAGACCCATAGATCTAGATATTAGCTTACTCTGTTTCTTCGGTTTTCTTTCTTTGTTTTCTTTTGCTATTTACACATAATAGTAAAATGAATACACGCAACGCCAAAACGCGCCAAATGGAGAACCAACTTCAAATGGCGCTTCTGGGACTTGAGGCGTCAAAGGAGCAGTGTGAGCTGTTGCTTAAGGAAAGGGATGACAACGAAAAGGAAATAATAAACATAATTGCCAAAAATACTCAACTAAAAATTGATATGGTTAACATAATGATTTCTTAAATTTACGCGAACACTACACATTGAATCGATAAAATCCGTAAATTTAGACTTAATTTTTTTTTAAATAAATTAAATTTAAACTTGCAAAATCTTAGTAAAAGACACAACCAAAACAAACATAACAACCAATCATGAACAACAATAATTTATACGGTGGCGCCATATTATGAGAAAAGAGAAATATATACTCTGGTGGAGCCACATGTTTAAGGCTGCCGAAAATCTAGTTCCCCGGTCAAACCTCAAACCTATTACGCGAGATATTAACTAAAGTGGACTGTATTTGCGATTGCTTCTATGCTTATGTAAAAGCGACTACTATAGCATGCGGTACAATGCACTCGCTCTTCCCTAAAACTAAAACTATTACTTGCCAAATCGATGAAAGGAATCCTGCCTGATGGGGAGAACACAGAATTGGAGCGGTTAAACAATTATTAAATGTTAATCAGGCAGTAAATTAAGGAATGTTGACTCACCGGGGTTCTTCTATCCTTTAGAGCACTATAGCGGCGATTTCCGGAACCTCCTCTGGACAGACACTCTGGGGCCCCAGGGGTGCGTCAGGAGAGAAGCGTTGTAGTTCAACGACGGCTGCGGCGGGAAGAAGAGAGCGCGCGTCGGTCGCGCGTGTCTTATATATCCTCGGCTCCGGTGATTGCGCGATGTTCTAGAATCGTCTTCTTTCCCTCCCACCCCATCACCCCGATGTGTCGATAGGAGGGTACGAATGATATCGTTTTGGAAGGAATAATGATTCGGCAAGTTCCTACCGTCATAAATAAAAAACGCGAATGGTTTTCCGCGCAACCATCTCCCCCCGCCCTTGAAGGATTTCCTTCAAAAAAAATAACTAAACAACTAGAGCTAAGATCAACTAACAAATAACTAACTAACGCTAAGATTACCTAAATTCAACTACAATTTTAATCTAGAAATCTAATTTAAATTATGGAAGAGGCAAGGGGCACAAACGGACAACAGGACGTAGGTAAGACCCAACCGTGGTCTTAACGCGAGCTATCCTAATTACTCCGTCGGAACCGGGAAAGACCTCCTCGACGATTCCTAACGGCCAGTGGAGAGGCGGCGTATTCTCCTTAGTGAGCACAACTACCGTTCCTACAGCTAAAGGCTCTGTCGCTGTGTTCCATTTTTGCCGAGACTGCAAAGTGTGCAAGTATTCCATCCTCCATCGTTTCCAAAACGATTGCACTAACCGATCTAATAATTTGTGGCGTGCGGAAATGCTAAGTCTGTTCTCATCCATATTCGCGGCGGGCAGATACCTTAGAGGCGTTAAATTCAAAAAATGTGCTGGAGTTAGAGCCAGCGGTTCCGAGGGGTCACTAGATAACGTCCGACAAAGTGGGCGGCTATTCATTACGCATTCAATTTGAGCGAGCACCGTACTTAGCTCTTCGAAGGACAAAATTTGATCTCCTATTACTCGGTATAAGTGGCTCTTTAGACTTTTAATATTAGTCTCCCAATTGCCCCCAAAATGACTCGCGGCTGGGACGTTCAGAGACCACTCAATGCGGTTCTCGGCTAGAATGTGCGCGAACTCCGAATTATAATACTTGCTAGCTAAGAGCTCATTTAGTTCCGATAGAATACGTTTTGCACCGACGTAGTTCGTACCGTTATCCGAATATAATTTACTTACAGGGCCTCTGCGGGATAGAAATCTTTTAAATGCACCCATAAAGCCTGCTGTGCTTAGATCACCCACGAGTTCTATATGCACTGCTCGAGTAGTTAGACATACGAAAATGCAGACGTAAGCCTTTGTGGATCTTATACCGCGCCCGCGAGTGAGCGTGACCTTAAACGGACCAGCAAAATCAGACCCGGTGTGCGTGAAGGGCTTTACTGATTGTATCACTCTGCAAGATCTAAGTTCCGCCATTTCCGGAAATGACGGCTTGGGGCGTGCCCGAAAGCAAGCTATACATCTGTGCACCCGATTGCGTATTAAACTACGTGCAGAAAGAATCCAATAATTCTGACGCAAGATCGACATCAATAAATCGGGGCCAGCGTGCGAGTTCAATTTATGATGATAATCGACTAATAAGTTCATGATATGGTCTTTACGCGGTAAAACTACAGGGTGCCGTTGGTCGAAACTCAATTGCGAGTTGGACAAGCGTCCACCTACCCTTACAATCCCATCCTGTAAAAATGGCTTAAGGCGTTGAAAGGCGCGACTACAAGCTCTATTCGATTGTAATCTTGTAATTTCTTCGGAGAAGTGCGCACGTTGAAGTTCACGTAATACTAGCGACTCGGCATAGTTGTAATCGGATGCTAAGATATACGAACGTCGCGGTAAAAGCTTCGCGAATCGACAAACGTAAATTACGATACGCAATAATTTCGACCAAGAGGACAAGCGGTTCGCCAGAGCAATAATTGGAGAAACCTCGCTCGAAACGTTCGCCACTAGAGCGTGTCTCTTCTCTTCCGGCGGTTGTGACACTGACGAAGGTTCGAAATCGGTTATTGGCCATTGTGAGGGATCCAAGTGAACCCAAGAAGGTCCATGGAACCAAAGCGGGTGGTCCATTATTTGCATCGGGGTGAGTCCCCGGGATAGACAATCGGCAGGGTTTTCCTTACCGGACACGTGATAAAAGTTCCGCGTTTCTAACTCGTCTTGGATCTTGGCCACTCGGTTCGCGACAAACGTATCCCAACGGTGGGGTGAAGAATGAACCCAACATAAGGCGACGGTGGAGTCGGAAAAGGCAAATATCCTTTCTATGTGAACTCTATCCCTACATGCGCCGATAACTGTGGTAATAAGCTTGGTGAGTGCTAATATTGCGCAAAGCTCTAGGCGCGCCAGAGAGACAACCTTACGGGGGGAGACTCTCGACTTAGAACTAATGAGGCTAATCGAATTTCTACCATTATTCTGGACATGGAAATATACAACGCCCCCGTAAGCCCTCTCGCTGGCGTCTGCAAATCCAACGACCGTTATGCTGCTATTTCTATCGACATTTATATGACGCGGTATTTTAATTTCTCTTAGTAAAGGAAGTTCCTCTCTAAAGCGCTGCCACAATCGAACAATGCTGTCAGGCGGCGAGTCATCCCAATCACATTCAAATAACCAAAGTTGTTTAATCAAAATCTTAGCGTACAATACCACAGGAGCTACCAAACCCATGACGTCCTATAATCTAGCAACGCATGACAGTATTGTGCGCTTTGTGCATTTCTCTACGGGCGGATTTACCTTAAGGCTAAACACGTCGGACTCTGGTGACCAACACAGACCGAGCACCTTGTGTGTATCGGAATCGTCGAATTCCTTTATCGCCGAAAGACGGTGTGATAGTGGGATTGTATCTAAAACCGTACGCGAATTACTAGTCCACTTCACAAGATCGAATTGACCCGATTTCATGAGCCTTATGACTTCGGCGGTGGTTAGGGTGGCCTCCTCCACGCTATCGACCGAATACACAAAATCATCCATATATGATCCGCTCTCAATTGCCCTCTTAGCTTTAGGATAAGAGGGACCTTCATCGTGAGCGAGCTGTCCACCGTGCGTAACGCATGAAATGGGCTCGACTTTAAACCAAAACAAACGCGGTTAAATTCAAACACCATTAGAGGTTCCTTTGGGTTGAAGCGATATAAAATGCGTTGGAATCTACGGTCGCATTCACGGACCCCTATGCAAAGAAACATTTGGCGAATATCGGCGGATAGTGCTATACTAAACAAACGAAAATTGACTATTATATTAAATAAACTGCCCTGTAAATTTTGCCCACTATAGAGGATATCGTTAAGCGACAGGTGAGTGCTAGTTTTAGCACTAGCGTCGAGCACTACACGTAATTTAGATGTAAGTTTGTCCTCTCTAATGACTCCGTGGTGTGGTATAAAATACGACGGTGTGTCTTCGTAGTTATCTAATTTCGAAGCCACAAGCGATATGTAACCTTCTCTTATATATTCGTTAATGACGCCGTCGTAAGCTTCCTTTAACTGGGGCGAAGCGAGCATCCTACGCTCCAAGCTGTAGAAACGCTTTTCCGCCATTTGACGCGAATCGCCGAGAGATAAAACATCTCCTTTAAAGGGTAGCGCTACACTATATCTACCGTCGCGATCACGAACGGTCGTGCGGACGTAAATTTCCTCGCATAACCTGTCATCTGGACTAGCTATAGGTGGGACGTTCACCTCCTCCATCTCCCAAAATTTGCGGACTAACGACTCGAGCGGTTCGACAGCCATACCACAATAAGAGGTTGCCGAAATACTATCTAGGATGGGGGCGAAGCCAAGGATCACATAGCCCAATACGGTTTCCAGTGCGTAAGGCGCGGTATGCGAGGAGTTGCCCCTGACCTTATTGTTTAACAAAAGATAAGGGAAAAGCGATGCCCCAATGAGCATGTCTATGTTTCCAGGAACGGCGTAAGTGTCGTCTGCTAGAGGCAAATTTTTAAATTCAATCATTGCCGAGGTGTCAACCGAAACGGTTGGCAACCGTTCAGTGACCCTATCTACTACTAGTGCATTTATATCAAAGTTAACATTACGATCTATCCGAGAATAAAATTTTAAATTTATATATCCCTGTGTCGCTTTACTAGTACCTCCGATGCCTTTAACTACAGGACATGAAAGTGACCTATTTATTACTAAACCTAAGCGCTGACAACATTGTCGTGTTATAAAGCTATTTTGGGCTCCGCTGTCCAGCAGTGCACGGACGCTTTGTTCGTTTCCACGCGAATCCCTAACCAAAATACGCGCCGTACCCAGTAACACGGTCGAAGGAGGTTGTACTCCCATATTTGCCAATGAGCACAGAGCGACATCACCAGGTCGACCGCTAGAATCGTTGACCTTAGTAGGGGTGAATTCCTTATCCGCCTTACTTGACGCCGCTATGTTGCTATTTTCAAAATGTAATAGCGTGTGATGTTTCCTGGCGCACTTGCTACATACGGAACTCGAATTGCATTTTGCAACTAAATGCTTATCGCTTAAGCAGTTCAAACATAGGTTGTTTGTCTTTACTAACTTATAACGTTCGCTTGGTGAATATTTACGAAAAGTCGCACAATTATATAAATTACCGTGTTTATCTTTACATACTATACAAGTATGCTGGAGTGATGTCGGCGTAGCGGTTACGTAAGTTAACGACCCTGCTATTTTAGATGGTTGAGTCTGTCTACGGTCGACGCACCTTTTAATCTCCTGTTTAACGTTCGGAGAGCGCTGCATCACCTTTATTTGATCTCGCACGAACGATGCTAATGAATGAAAGGAAGGCATCTCCGAGCTACGATGCTCCATTTCAAACGCACGCACGGTGTCGGAGTCTAATTTCTTTAATGCTATATGGAGAAACACCACGTCCATAAGGTCATCAAACTTCAAATTCTTAAGTGCAGCCACCGATGCCACAAATTTATCTAGAAACTGCTCTAAGCCGTTGATGTTCGCGGATGATATAGGTTTAAGATCGAATATCTGGTTCAAATATTCGGAAGCTAACATTCTCCTATCTTCATATTTAGTTTTAAGCGTTTCAAATATTAATACGTAATTGTTTGCTGTAGGTGTAAAACCCGAGCAGATCGACTGTGCTCTGCCACTAAGTTTGCTAATTAAGTAATATAATTTTTCAGCGTCCGATAACGATGGGTTGTTGTGTATATTGTTTTGAAAACTACTGAAGAAGAAGGGCCACGTCTTAATATCACCATTGAATACCGGAATATCTATTGGCGGTAACCTAATTGAGTCACGAGGGCGTACCTGTATTTCCGGCTTTGCTTCGCTTTGAGATTGTAGGAGTTTTGCAGTTCTTTTTACGCGACACAACATATCTTCGAATGCCAGCAGCGGTTGGTAGTTCACTATGTATTTCGGGTCGCTTTGTAATTCCAAATGATTAATTTGGTCTAATATTCTTTCGTAATCTATCCGCAAAGTATCTATCGTTTCGATTTCATTCAAAAAAGGCTTCCCGCACTGCCTCTATATTAATGTTCTTTATATAATTACTTATATTCTGCACACGCGAAAAGAGTATGTCCCTCTTGGCATAAAGCGTTTTAATTTTGATTTCACTTCCACTAACTGCCATTTTAAATTATTATAATAAAGTTATATTAATCACAATTAATCTCACACGCATAAACGACGTAGGATGAACACTCGGCGTGCCGTATTACGTAATCAGATCGAACACCCGTTGCGGTCGAGTCTACGCGTCGTTTGCTAAACCTAATAATTTTATCAAAATTGTGGGTAAGCGTATCAAACGGTTGCTATCACACCGTTTCAATTGTTTAATAAGCTTTAAATTTAACCAAATACGAGCGCTATTAAATGAATAATTCTGTTTGCGAGTACCAAATCAAATTTTTAATTTAAACGAACACTATTTACGTCTATTCCATAAATTACAGTGCGTTATCTAAACAATTAATTTAAAATTCGACCAGAAAATGGTTGGATAACCACTAAACACCAATCCAGATCCTGCCGAAGTGACCATAAAATGGTGGAGCCACGTGTTTAAGGCTGCCGAAAATCTAGTTCCCCGGTCAAACCTCAAACCTATTATGCGAGATATTAACTAAAGTGGACTGTATTTGCGATTGCTTCTATGCTTATGTAAAAGCGACTACTATAGCATGCGGTACAATGCACTCGCTCTTCCCTAAAACTAAAACTATTACTTGCCAAATCGATGAAAGGAATCCTGCCTGATGGGGAGAACACAGAATTGGAGCGGTTAAACAATTATTAAATGTCAATCAGGCAGTAAATTAAGGAATGTTGACTCACCGGGGTTCTTCTATCCTTTAGAGCACTATAGCGGCGATTTCCGGAACCTCCTCTGGACAGACACTCTGGGGCCCCAGGGGTGCGTCAGGAGAGAAGCGTTGTAGTTCAACGACGGCTGCGGCGGGAAGAAGAGAGCGCGCGTCGGTCGCGCGTGTCTTATATATCCTAGGCTCCGGTGATTGCGCGATGTTCTAGAATCGTCTTCTTTCCCCTCCCACCCCATCACCCCGATGTGTCGATAGGAGGGTACGAATGATATCGTTTTGGAAGGAATAATGATTCGGCAAGTTCCTACCGTCATAAATAAAAAACGCGAATGGTTTTCCGCGCAACCATACTCATTTAGGTATTTGGTGCTACCAGTAAAAAATATAATTTTCTACTCATTGAAAATCAAAACAAAAAGAAAACATTTATTTTTCTTTTACTGTCAAGGATATGTTAATATAATAATGTAGAAAAATACGACAGGCATAGTTATCTTCCTATGGGTTATTATTTCTGTATTCAAAATTTTTGAGTGTAATTTATCTTTAGCAAAATCTTACTAATTATGAAACAAGACATTTATCTGACAAATGGCAATAATAAAATTCAGCCCCCGTAGGTATTTCATTCTGTCCATACAGAGTTGACCGGGCCTGCCTGGAAGTCAGAGCTCCTGTGAGGCTCGGGCACCACGAGACGCTTAGGGACGCCTTGGCCCATGCACTGGAGGTGGAAGCCGTGTGGCAGGATCATCGTTCCCATCGCGTCAAGGAGGTTGCAGCAGCTACAGTTCGCGACTGCAATAAAGGATACTGCCCTAGGTGCTATGGCTGTGGGGAAAGGGGCCATCTTCGATCCAACTGCCCTAAGCGAACCCTAGAAAGGGAAGGTGAACGATCTCAGAAGGGAAGTGCGGCTAACATCACCGCCCAGCAGCAGCCGGGATACGACTTAACTTAAAAAAGGGGGTAGCGTTACGCGCCTAAGTTGACGTCATGTACCCGGCACTAGCACCATCTAGTGTCGGGGACGAGAGCGAGGGGAGCTTTCCCGAAAACGACATCACTAATCTTTCAACCGACAGCGTCATCTAGTCTCGAAACGAAGAACTAAGCTTCTAGAAGCTGACGCTCGAACTCTCGGCCCCTTGCGCGTGTTTACTTGAATATTCTGGATGTTTCGGTGCTAATTTGTATTTATAGGCGCTGCAAGATGCGATCGGGGAAGTATTGAATTTGGCGAGACAAGCGAAGCTTCGGAGCGAAATAAAGTGAACCTTACCAAATATTTTTTTAAATTATTAATTACAGGGCTTATAGTCCTGGTTACCTATATTTGTTTAGTATTAATGGTATATGTAGTAGAACCAGAGTGACTGACATAGCTCAACGGATAAGTAAGCTGAAGTGTCAATGGGCCGGCCATATAGCTCGAAGAACCGACAACCAATGGGAAAAGGTTCTCGAGTGGCAGCCTCGTAACGGTAGGTGAAGTATACAGCGTACCCCCACTAGATGGAGTGACGACCTGGTAAGATATGGAGGAAGTCGATGTATGTAGGTGGTTCAGGACCGTGCTTTGTGGCATTCTTTGCCGGAGGCCTATGTTCAGCAGTGGACTTGTGACGGGCTGTATTGATGATGCTGATGAATGGTATATGTTTAGTATTAATAGTATAAAAATAAATATTTTATCATACCTATATTTACAATATAATACAAATACAAGGCAATTTTCTTAAATTAAAATATTTTTATGCAGGAGTAGAGTCCTGTGATTCGAAGGCCTACTGAACCCCATCGCTTTAGACGTATCAGATCCTCTACTACTCCTGAGTTAACTTGAGTTTTTATAACTTTTTATATTTAGAAACAATATTTATATTCTTTTATGTTTCAGATCAGTCTAAAGTCGATCCGGAATGGGTCATGGAACTAGAGGAGAAAAGGGTTGAGGCTGAAAAAAAGCTTGCCGATGCTGTAATGGTGATGGCAGAGGCATCTCGCATGCAAGCTGAAGTAGCCCGCACACAAGCTCACATAACTGGCACACTCGTAGAGCTTGTGCAAAGGCAAAGCGAAGAAATACGTGCCTTGCTTGAAGCACGGAGACTACCAGAACTCTAACCCATTACCCTGTTACCTAAGTTCCTGTCACATACAATTCATTGCTGTTATCATACTATTGTGTCTGAAAATTGGTCAGTGAGGGTTTAAAATAATTTCAATATATTTAAAAAACATCAATAGAATTAAGATGAAAAATGAACATACAGTCCATTTATACATCATATTAAGTATCAAAGTGTAAAAGAGTTATTGCCACTGTGGTGATAAATAATTTAATTTTTAATTCTGTCTAAGTCTGGTCGTAGCTACCGGTGATTCTATGCCTGGTTCTTTTTTCACTCAAAGCTATAGTTTAACCTTGCAGTGTTGAAATGCAACCCATTTTCTTCAGGAAACAATAATTAGATTAGGGCTTTATTATAATTTTAATTAGTATGTTACATAGTAGAACTTGTAAGAATAATTGTTTTATTTTAGTTTTAAATAAAATTCATTGTTTAGCTTACATTTGTTTTATTATACACAAAACTTCACTTTAAACAACATTAGAATTAATTATATAGTGATAAACAACAATCATTAAAAAATAATGTTTCCAATAAAAGATTTAATTATTTATTTTGCTTTTTACCCTTGAACTGGAAATGTACATGTTTTCAGGAGCCAGTTTTTCATTTTACACATTGGATTATAATATTAGAACAAAAATAGAAGTTATGAAATACAAATAGGAATAAAATAAAAAAGAAAATTAAACAAATTTTGCTCACATTTAGAATACCCAAAATAGAAGAGAATCATATTTATTCAATATAGATTACAAGAATACTTATTGTAAGTCATTTTTACTTCTGGTTCAGTAAAAACCTCTATCCTGGGAAGGACCAACAAGAAACCCAGAGGGTCTTATAAAATCAATTTAGATTTAGAGGTCTAAATAAAATCAATTTACAATGTATTATTTTACAATTGGTATGATGACATTAGAAATAGCATGGTAGCGATCACCAGCCTCATTCCCAGGGGTTGTTATCAATCACTCACACACACTGTACTCTTTAGTAGTATAATAACCCTTACTAATCAATTTCTGCTTAATAATTTTTTTTTGATAGGCGTGCATACTATCAGAGTCTTTGTTGTGAAAGCGTACACATTGCCCCATAAAGGAAATACTGACTCTGCGAGTCGAGTAACAGGTAAAAGTAACTTGTGCTTGTTTCTGTGTGCATACATAAAATTTTGTAAATATATTGAGGCTAAAGTTAATATGTTGATTTTTTTTAAAAAATTTCTAAGGAATTCCTTCGGAATTAGGTTATAAATTGCTCGTATGGCTCTCTTTCTCTGCAAAACAGAGATAATTTCAATGCTAGTCGCATTACCCATTATGCAATGGAAATAACTAAAATAAACTAATCTAGCTGTTTCAACAAATAGCCTTAGCCCTTAAACTTTTTGTAGCTAGCTAGTTTAGATATATGAGGGCCCCACTAAAGCTTCGCGTCAACTCTAATTCAGAGAAAAACAGCGGATTCAACAAGACTGCTCATCCCCATTTGAAAGCACAATGGTATTCACCTGTTGTAAATTTAAAATATTTCGTTTTATTAGTGTTTAAAAGCAAATTATTGACGTTGAATCAGTGCACTACTTTTATTATAGCATTATTCACTTCGTCATATTTTAATGGACTCAACTCATGGAAGAAGTTTCAAGGAGATTGATATTAAAGTCTCCACATATGATAACATTTCTGTTTATTAAGCTTGAGTGAAACTTCCTCCATATTTTTTTTTCAAAAGAATATGGGGGTCTGTAAACACTAACAACAATGAGGTGCTCAAAATCAACACATGCTATTTCTACTGTTCCCTCAACAGAGGCTCACAATATCCTTACGTTCTTTACACATTAACAATTTGTTAGCTAATATTAAGGAGCCACCACTTAAATGTTTTTCTCTGTTATAGCAACTGAGATCACCTGGTGCTTACTGAAATTAAACATAAATGAATCCAAATTCAATGTAAAATCATCCTCTGAGTGAGGGATGTTAAGTGTTTATAAGTATAATATATAAACGCAAAATTATTAGGAATTAAACAAAATATATCCATAGACATTAAAAAAGTAAAGCCATTTTATATTAAATAAAAATTCAAAAAAAATAAATTCAATTCAATTAATATACAAGATTAAAAACAATGTCTACACATTTTAAAGGTAAAGAAATTGCATATTTGAACAAATAGTTAAAAAAATAAACAGTATTATAAGCAATATTATAATGGGAAATAAATCAGATAGACAGCAGTGTCTTCCTTATAATAAGCACAAATAAAAAAAGGGTTGTTAAGCCTGGCAACTACGGCAAACATACCCCTAAATATATGCCTATGAGGCAATTTATGGGGGAGGCCTATGTTCAGCAGAAGACTTTAACGGTAACGATAAACAATATTGCTGTTGATACATAATATATCCAGACCATAGTATTTATAAATTTATTTTTATAAATACTATGGCCTGGGAGCAGACCATAATCGTTGCACAATAAATTCTCTTTGTTGCCGACCACTAGCTAAGAGCTGTTGTTCTGCACCAACCCCGACACCCTGCAGTGGTTGCTGAGGAATTTGATTATTCTGGTCTTCCAGTATGTCAGAGCTTGGCAATTGAGGTACAGGCAGTCGATGTCTGTTGCAGATGTTGTGCAAGACAGCACAGGCATTTATAATTTTAGCCACCATGTGATGGTTATAATGCAGTACCCTATGTGCCAGTAAACATCTCCAACGTGCTTTTAAGACTCCTATGCACCATTCCACAGTGTTTCTTGTGAGACAGTGCATATTAGTGTAATGCTCATATGCACTACCAGGTTTAGCATTTACAATTGGAGTTAAAAGCCAAGGTCTTAATGGATATCCAGAATCACCTGTAAATTTATTTTAATTAATTATTGAATTAGAATATTTATAAAATGATAGTATTTTTGTATAATTAATATGGTATTTCTACAAACCAAGAAACCAGACAGCCTCTCCTCTATTATGAAGCTCTTGCAGATGCTGTGATATTTTGAGAGTTTTTCCAAATATGAGCATCATGTGTAGCACCACCAAAAGAAGCATCTATATTTATTATATTTAAATCACTATCACATATCTGAAAAGGTTTTATATATATTTAAATAAGTTTAATGATTACCCAATTATAAATATTAAATACTATTATTAATTCAGAATAATTTTACTTATTATTTGAACACTCCTAGAATGGTAATGTTTTCTATTAAAAAATCTTTCCTCATGTTCTGTGGGCCTGATCATAGCTACATGAGTGCTATCAATCCACCCCAAGCAACCAGGAAAACCATATTTATTTGAAAATCTAAAACAAATTAAATGAAGAATGCAATTATTTTCCCTTCAGCATTCAATTCACTTTCGTAATGCTTAGTAATTCTTACCCATTTATAATAGCCTGTCTTTCTTGTCGTGTTCCAGGGAAATGTATGTATTTTTTAGCATATCATATTTGTTTAAAGCCATTGTCACTTCTTTAACAGCATTTGATACACTAGCTTGTCAAAGCCCATGCAAATAGCTCATGCCCACAGGCTTTTGATACGAACCTGTAGCGTAGAATGAGAGTGCTGTAAGTACCTGTAAATCAATGAGAATTTTATCAAATCTAATAATAACCATTATAACATTCAAAAATGTTGTTTATAGTCAGTGTGCCAACATAATATTCTTTTCGTACCTTGCATTCTACGTTAATTTTTGTTTTTCTTCTTGACACGACCATGTATGGCTTTAACTCGGTGCACAAATCCTGAAAGAGCTCTTTGGAAAGTCTGTAGTGGGCTTTAAACTCAGTCAGAGAGTTCCAAAGCTTTAGCTTTATCTCTGACACTTCGTCTCAATCGTGCTGTGGTACGGCTTTGATATCTTCTGTCCTCAACTTCTAGTGCTTCAATCAAAAGAACTGCACGAGCCATATCGAATTCAAAGAGATAACAATCTACACAAACACTAAAACACTTCTATAATCCAAGCAAGCACTATTTTAATGATTTTAATACTAAGATGCTGTGATGTCAACAAACTTAGTAAAAATAAACACACTGTTAATAATACGCGTTATTATATTATTTGAATAATAAGACAATTGCGACGAGCAATCGTCGGGTATGTTCCGAAATACAACGCAGTGTACTAGTCAGGCCCGGTCAACTCTGTATGGACAGAATGAAATACCTACGGGGGCTGAATTTAATTATTGCCATTTGTCAGATAAATGTCTTGTTTTATAATTAGTAAGATTTTTCTAAAGATAAATTACACTCAAAAATTTTGAATATAGAAATAATAATCCATAGGAAGATAACTATGCCTGTCGTATTTTTCTACATTATTATATTAGCATATCCTTGACAGTAAAAGAAAAATAAATGTTTTCTTTTTGTTTTGATTTTCAACGAGTAGAAAATTATATTTCTTACTGGTAACACCAAAATATCTAAATGATTATAATTCTCATTTCTCAAAATATGGCGGATATGGCGCCGCCGTATAAATTATTGTTGTTCATGATCGGTTGTTATGTTTGTTTTGCTTGTGTCTTTTTCTAAGATTTTGCAAGTTTACGATGTTGAGTTGAGATTAATGTCCTTCGTTTATATGATGTGCAATTTGTTAGTCAATGATTCGTAGTGAAATACGAAATAGTGACTCTAAAAACTACGCTGCAATGGCGGATAAAGAAAATAGAAAAAGTGTTCTAAGTGCAACAGCTTACCAACCATTGACAACATTAAATTATTTAGGTTTCCGAAACCCGCAGTAAAGTATATTTTGCGGTACGTATACAATATACATATACACTATTTAATAAGTTCTAACCTTAAAGTAAATCTCTTGTTCAACTTATTGTTTCTCTTTAACTATTTTAAAAACAAATTATTGGTTTGTAAACCATTGGACCTACTTTGATAATATTTGTATTTAATAATTATATCTTTTGTTTTCAGCTGTAAGTTGGGGGCGAAATATTATATTCCTTCCCAAGAGCAGTATACTACTTCAGCTTTCCAGACAAAGCTACATAATAAGCCCAGAATGCTGTGTGAAAAACATTTTCATGATGGTTGATTTAATGATGCAACCAAGAAAAAGCTCTTAAGAACTGCATTCCCATGTGATGTAAGTAAAGTGTATAATGTATATGGTAATATGGTATGTATATAGTTTTCTTTAAGGATTACTCAGATATTTTATATGGGGATTACTATATTCAGGAGTGGACTTTGATAGACAGTAATGAAGATGATGATGATTATTCATATGACCATCATCTGGATCTAACATGGATGGACAGACCACATACAGTAGTTTGAATCCTGTAAATGCTTTAAACTAATTTATAATAATTGGACGGACAAGGCATCCAAAGGATTGAAGTCTATAACTCTATAAAGTTAGCACAAGCCCTTCCTTACATTATTAAAAGTGCAACACACTGCATATTATTTTTAACAATCAAATTTTTTTTAAAACAACAACAAACCTCAAGAAAATTCAAGCATCACAATCTATGAATAATTACATTTCGTCCTAAACCTATCAAATTTAAAGGCACAACTTGTACAACACAGTAGAAATACATGCATCGAATGGTTGTCAAATAATAGATAAACACTAGACTTCTTTTCACATAGTTATTGTATTTACTATCTAATTTTGTTATATTAATTGTAATAGTGAGTGTATTATAGATCACGTTGGATGAACAAGATCCATTCATTTATTTTGTATTGGTAGAGGGTAACATAGTACCGTGAGCACGGACTGGTTTACTGTGAAAGTAATGTCAGTGAATATAATGTTAATTTAATTTTATATAATAATTTTGTGATACTATAATTTATTTCAATTTCTATTTATTTCCAGACTAACAAAGTGTATTCCCATTTTATTTTGTGGAATCACAAGCTGGCTCCTAGCAAATTATTGCTGCAAAACCACAAGCAGGATCTTCAAAAAGGACAACATTATATCCACTGAAGAACAACCACAAACATCAAAGCATAACAGATAACGTTGAACCTGAAAAAGAAAGTACTCTATATGAAAATTTTTTAAATTATAATAAGGAATATTTTTGTAATCTAATATTTAATATGTTTTATAATTTTGAATTAAAATTATTCTATTTATAAGCTCATTCAATACGTAATATATTGCATATAATATAGAGACAAAAATTTTAGTGTCAATTCAGGGAAATTTTATACGTGGTAGAGCCATGCTGCAGTTATATTAGAAGTATAGTTGTAGCACGAATGGGTCGGCTCGACCGGGGAAGGACCACGCTCTCACAGAATACCAGTGTGAAATAGTAGCTTAATGCTGCTGTATTTCGTATGGTAAGTGTAGAGAGCTGGAGACCCTTTTACTGAAAACGAGGGATTCCATCTTAGTCCTCACGGGTGACAACGTATCTTCATTTTGATTCGTAATTGAGGATAGATGTGGATGTCTATGGGCCACAGCAACCACGTACGATCAGGTGGACTGTGTGCTCGTTTGTCACCCTATCCTATAAAAAAATAGGTGGAGAACCAAATATTATCATAACAAAATTATTATTTGTGAATTTTGCACTTGTGTGTAGGAGCTTATTTATTAATTAACTTGTTTTTGATTAAAATATTGATATTTGGGTTATTGTAGACATTCTGTGATTTGTGATTGTGCATATTATCGATTCATCCATGATTGTAAATCTTATATATATATATATATATATATATATATATATATATATATATATATATATATATATATATATATATATATATATATATATATTGTTTACTTAAGTAATTGAAATGTTGTAATCAATATTGATTTTCTTTTCATGTTTAAACCCATCAATTGTCTTTTTAGAAAGAACTAAGCTGCTGGAGAAATTTTGTCTTAAGTTATATATGTTTTTTTTTTATTTTTATTTTGAATAATTAAATAGAATTTTTATAATTTTTGTTCTTTTATTTAGCGCTGGGATATGCAACCCAAAAATACCTCAAATAAAAAAACCAAAAAAGACCACGTTCAAATTTCCCGCCACACGAGAAGTGCAGGAGGCTGACGATAGATGGAGCTAGTGGTTATATATAGCATTTCTTAAATTTTGTATGAAGTTGTCGTTCTTCTCCGAAAGGAGTGATAGTGTTCTGTGGTACTAGTACATAGTCAGTAATCTATGCAGTGTACTGTCCAATGCAAATGACGTATCATTTGACAGTTTGTTGTACTAGCGTGCCTCCGCCATATTGTGTCGGTTATCCGGCCATAATAAACAATTTTTAATTGTGTATTTGCCGAATGAAGCATGCCAGAATTTGTTTCTATTTATTCAAATACAAAAAATTATAGAATAATTGATGGTATATCCATTAGGAGGATATAATGATTTTTGGAGCACAAAATGACAAAATAATCGCCAACACTTTTCCAAATGGCGCAAAAGTATGACGTCATATACTGTCTAATGTTTTGGAACGAATCACCAGTATAGCGTCGATTCATGACGTCATTTGCACTGGACAGTACACTGCGTTGTATTTCGGAACATACCCGATAAAAACTTCACCTATAATGTTATGTTATCGCAAAATGACAGTTATAAATGCTCGCTGGTTGCTATCGTCAATCGTCATGCTCGTAAAAGGCGTACGTAATACCAAAACTGGCGCGAACTTCACTTGTTAGAGACTGTTGAATGCATATTTAGTTTACCGATTGTTCGACAGAGGCAGTGCTGTCGCTAGTTAGCTGGGGCTTGGTTATCGCTGATACATAATACGAATTGGCGATTTATCAGCAATTATTGTGCTAATTTCGCTATCGCTAGCCTTCTACAAGATACGTAATACGCCGGCTGGCTTGACGTACAGGCTGTTCAAATAATTTGATACTAATTAATGATATTAAAGATAAACTTATTTTATATTATTAATTTATTATTGTAAGTGTAACATTAGTTTTTATAGTATTAATGTGTAGCTTATAATACATTATTTTTATTTTACAATACTTATTATAAGTTACTTAAGAAGTAATTCTTTAATATATTTTTGATGTTGCGTTGATTAATTTGTTTTTTTAGTTGTGATGGAAGTTTGTTTATGATATCGGGAATCATGTATTCTAATGTTCGTTTTCTATATAGATTTATGTATTTTGGTAATGCTAAGGTAGGTTTCTTTGACTGTCGTGTGTTAAAATTATATTGTATTGGAATTTGTATATTTTTATTAAAGTAATTTTCAATAAGTAATATATACTTTATTATATACAGGTAATATTTTACAGAATTCAAAGATATTATGTTAGTCTTTAAATTTGTTTGTAACACTTTTTGGTACTAGAGTTTTTAAAATACGGAGTTGTAAGGTGTAAATTCGGTCTAGGTGTATTTTATAGGTCCTACCATAGCTAGGAAGACCATACGATATTATAGATTCTGCTAATGAGATATATAAGTAATTGTAATCTTATATCGTATGGTATTTCGTATTTTATTAATGTGAATTTGGCCAGAATTCCTCGAAGTCTGAAGCATATATGGTCAATATGCCCTTTCCAGCTAAGGTGACTATTGATTATAAGCCCAAGGTAAATATGTTGTTCCACTACATCAATCTTGACACAGCTACAATGCACGCTTTTAGTGTGTATGCATTGGTGGCTATGAGCTATTAGTTTGGGTATCTCGTCGCTTCTGTTTTTGGTACTACTGAC